CCACTGAGCGTTCCCAGTCCCAGGGCGCCACCGAGCACGCAGGCGAGTGCGGGGCCGGCGCTGCCCCCGGGGGTTCTGCCCTGCACCCCCAGTGCCCGGGAGGGTTTCTGCTGAAGACTTGGGACACAGGAAGCTCACGGTGAGAGCCACGCACTCGGCCCCGAGCCGGGGGTGGGGGCGGAGACAGCGCCCCGGCTGCGCTCCTGGTGCTGGGGGTGCAGGGAGCACGCGGTGATGGCTGGCGGCTTTCCCCCAACCTCCCCAGCCTCCCAAGAACCCCGTGACCCCACCGCGCCGGGCACCACGGGCTCGCCCTGCTGCCCCTGCTGCGTCCGTTGGACCTGCAGCTCTGCCCCTCTGCGCGGCCCTTCTTTCTGTCTGGTGGATTATTTTATTGATTTGAAATGGAGAGAGGCTGAGAGGGAGAGAGGGAGCTGTTCCATCCACTCCTTCACCCCCCAAAATGCCCACAATGGCTGAGGCTGGGCCAGGCTGAAGCCAGGAGCCGGGATCTCCATCCGGGTCTCCTGCAGGGGCCCACACACTGGAGCCCTCGCTGCTGCCTCCCGGTGCACACCAGCAGGAAGCTGGGATGCAGAGCGGAGCCAGGACGGGAACCGGATGCCGGATGCAAGCGGCCGAGGCAGCAGCCCCAGGCCTGTCCCTCCCACAGGGCGGGTCCTCGGGGGCGTCGCCGAGCCAGTGCCAGTCTGTGCCGGGTCCCCGAGTTTCATAACCCATCACGCGGGGCTGCAGCTCTCCCGGCCGCGGCGGGGGGCGGTGTTCAGCCCAGGTGGCCGCTGTCCGTCTGCGTCTGCTGGGGACACGCGTGACGCCCAGTGGTTTTGGTGGCACTAACGCGAGCCTTCGGGGGAGAGCATTCACATCCCCGGCACCGTCCAGGCCGGGGACACAGCCGCCTCCCCGCCCTCAGCTGCCGGTTCCCAGCTCTGCGCGTGGACGCGCCGGGATTTTGAGGACATTATTTCTATTTTTAACCCACCCGGATGCTCCAGCAATAGTAGCGTCTGGCGTTGTTTTCGTTGGCAGCTGTGTCTTCTGCGGTTACTGAGATACAGGCCCGGGTGTCCGCCGCTCCCCGCCGTCCGCCTGCTGTGTGCGTCTGCGCCTGCGCGAACGCTCACCCTGCTCTGAGCGGCCGCGGCAGCCCCGGGTTCCGGGCAAGCCCCCCCACCCTTGTGTGGCTTGCTCCCATGGTGGGCGCGTGGTCCCCACTGTGGCTTTCGATGCTGAGAGGGGTTTGGCTCCTCCCACCTCCACACTGTGATTGCAAGGGGGTGCCTTCCCCTCCCCACGGGGCGGGGCAGGCTGAGCAGGCGCCAGGTGGCCGAGCTCACCATCGGGCCGGGCCCCCCCGTGCTCAGCCAGGCTCAACGGCATCACAGTGCATGTTCACCGTGGCTTTCTCACTGGGAGACCCGCCTGGGAGACCGGACTGTGGCCAGCTGCCTGACCCCCTGCCCGGTCCCTGTGCCCACCTGAGCTCGGAGGCTGGGCCCCATCCCAGAGCCCCAGTCCAAGCCCCGGCCCCAGGGACGCTGGGCTGCAGCTGGGCCCCCTTTTGCGCCCCATGGGCCTCACCCTCCGTGGGCTCTGGATTCTACCCTGGGCTTGGCAGGAGGAAGCGGGGAGGGGGAGATCCATCCCAGGGCCCACGTGTGCAACAGGGTCCCCGGAATCCGCTGGTCCCAGCTCCGGGGGTGGGGACAAAGGCCGGGGTCAGATCCGTCCCCGCGTGGTTGTCTGAGTGTTCTTCTCAAACATGGAGGCGGAATCCACGTAGCGCGAAACCCAGCACTTGCGTGCACAACGCAGTGGCACTAAGCACCCTCCCCCGCTCCGTGCCAGGCAGGGCCACCCCTCGGCGAGCCGGCACTGCCGCTTCCTCCGCCCGCGCCCTCAGCCTTCGGCCGTCCATTTTGCTTCTCTGGCTTTCTCCGTGCTGGGTCTTCCGCACGGTACGTGGCCTTGCGTGCCGGGTGCCTGCTACCCAATACGACGTCCCCAGGGCCCCTCCACATGGGCGCAGTGTCCACAGCGTTTTGAGGCGGGCTGGACACAGGGGCCAATGACCTGGCCGAGCCCGTGTCTCCCACGCGCGTGGAGAAGTGCCGCCCTGGCCTCAGCAACGGCTCCGGGGACCCTGAGGCCACCCTGGGCAGTCCTCCAGGCTGGCCGGGCCGCAGGTCTGGCCGGGAGGATTCTGTCCACCCCAGCACCGTGGGGCCCGCCACGTGCCAGTCCCGGCCTGCTGGGAAGTTTGTGCTGCTCCCGAGAGCCTGTTTCTTGGCTCCTGTGCCGATGAGGACGGGGCCCTCAAGAGTGGAGACCCCCGGGGCCAGCGCCCTGGGTTAAGCCGCTGCCAGCTACACCAGCATCCCACATGGGCTCTGGTTCGAGTCCTGGCTGCTCCGCTTCCAATCCAGCTCCCTGCTAATGGCCTGGGAGGCAGCAGAGGATGGCCTGAGTTCTCAGGGCCCTGCACCACGTGGGAGACCCAGAATTCCTGGCCCCTGGCTCCTGGCTCCTGACTCCTGGCTTTGGCCCGGCTCAGTCCCAGTGGATGGAAGATTCTCTCTCTCTCTATCTCTATCTCTCTCCCCTTTCAAATAAATAAATAAATAAAGCTTTAAAAAAAAAAAAAAAAGAGCGGGGACTTCTGAGGACCTCACACTGGAAGACCAGCTTGCGAGTGCGGATTTTCCACGCGGCCCGGGCGCCACTCCCCTTCCCTCAGACTGGGAACCCCGACGGGCAGTTGTCCTGACGACTTGGGGGGAATTGGCTCTCCTGCTGGCACTGCCGCCGGCCCCCAGGAAGCCAGGCAGAGGTGAGGTGAGAGGGGCAGGTGCAGAGCTTCCCACCTCCACCCTACCCACCCCCCCCCCCGCATGCCTGCGCCCTGCTCCGACCCGGGGGTGTGCACCTCGGCGGGGGCGGGGCTCAGCTTCTGTCCTAGGGAAGCCTCTGGTGGTGTCCCCAGCTCAGGGGACAGGACTGGCTCTCAGCGACCCTCATCACAGCCATGTGCGTCCCCTCCCCAGGCAGTCACTCACCCACAGCTTTGCTGCCCTGCAAGGCCCGCCTGCGCTGGGGTCTGCATTCATCCCGAACCTTCTGAGAGCTGGGGCGATTGCTGAGGGAAAGGAGGGGGCGGGGCCGTGGGACAGGACAGTGCTAAGGAGCCAGACTCTCCTCGTAACTGGACGTGCCGAGACGCGCAGCGGGAGGCGGGCCGGGGAGTCAAGATTGTCTCAAGGGCTGGTACAGACGCTCGGTGAACAGTGCTGGAGTGTGCCAGGAGCGACTGAACCCACAGGCAAAGGGCACTTGGCGGCGGAGCCCCGGAAGGCAGAGCGGGTTTGGCTTCCCGTCCATCCTGTCCTCTTCCGGTGGAATTTTTTTTTGACAGGCAGAGTGGACAGTGAGAGAGAGAGACAGAGAGAAAGGTCTTCCTTTTGCCGTTGGTTCACCCTCCAATGGCCGCCGCGGCCGGCGCGCTGTGGCCAGCGCACCGCGCTGATCCGATGGCAGGAGCCAGGTGCTTCTCCTGGTCTCCATGGGGTGCAGGGCCCAAGCACTAATTTCTTTTTAAATTAAGCATCCGCACGTATCAGAGGAATTTCGAGAGGAATGCAATGGCAAGCCCCCATCCTTCGCTGGGAAGGGAAGACCACGTCCCCAGGCCACAGGGGAGCCTGGGTCCCACCAGCGTGGCCAGTACCCTGCTTTTGGAGTGAACAATCCCAACACGTTTATCTGAAGACGTCTACACACGTTTGAGAATCTCCATCCACGCCACGTGTCGTGTTTATTTATTTATTTGAGAGGACGAGTTACGGAGGGGGGAGGGGAGGTTTTTCATCTGGTTCACTCCCTAATAGGCCAAAACAGCCAGAGCTGGACCAATCAGAAGCCAGGAGTCAGGAGCTTCTTCCGGGTCTTCCATGTGGGTGCAGGGGCCCAAGGACTTCGACCATCCTCTCCTGCTCTCCCAGGCCACAGCAGAGAGCTGGATGGGAAGAGGAGCAGCCGGGACTGGAACCGGCATCCATAGGGGATGCTGGCACCACAGGCGGAGGCTTAGCCCACGACCCACCGTGCCAGCTCCACACGCTGCCTTTTTAAGCTGCGTTTCCGTCGTATGGTCCTGTACCTGCTCTTCACCCAGTGCCGCCCTCCCCGAGCCCATCACGCTGATGCCGGAGACACGGAGCCTCCTGTGCTTGCTGCGTGCGCTCTGCCCCTGGCACGGAGGACCTGCCGCTTAGCAGCTGGAGCTCCCCTTGGTGGGTGCTGGCAGTGCGTCCAGTGCTGCGGGAATCGGTGCCGTTGTCCCCGTCCCCTTGTTCCTCTAAGGTCCTGACCACCCCCAAGCACTGACGCGCATGTCGTGAAGAGCCGCAGAGTGTGTCACACACGGTTCACACGGCTGGAGCCAGGTCCACTCCTGAGCCGTGGGTGCCGACGCCAGGAGGTGCCGGTGGCTCCTCGCCGTGGGTCACGACCTGGGACGTCTGAGCAACGCTCCCCCAGGGAATGCATCCGGGGCGGGGCCCTGGGGCTCCAGGTACACAGTGTGAGCTTTCTGGTTGCTGCCAAGGGCTCTTCCAGGGTTTCGTCCCAGGATTGTCCCACGGCGATGAGAGTTACGGCGCCCACAGTGAGCGGGGCGGGGTGGGGTGAGCACCAGATTTTATGGAGAATCACAGAGGATTGAAAATCAAGAGCCTGCTTCCCGGGGGGGCCCGGGACGGGGCGGGGGTCCCATCGAGATCCGGATATCGGGAGCTTCTGTAAGGAGTGCGTTTCGATCGATCGATCGATTCTTTTATTTATTTATTTATTTATTTATTTATTTTGACAGGCACAGTGGATAGTGAGAGAGAGAGAGATAGAAAGGTCCTCCTTTTGCCATTGGTTCACCCTCCAATGGCCGCTGCAGCTGGCACACTGCGGCCGGAACACCACGCCTATCCGAAGGCAGGAGCCAGGTACTTCTCCTGGTCTCCCATGGGGTGCAGGGCCCAAGCACTTGGGCCATCCTCCACTGCACTCCCGGGCCACAGCAGAGAGCTGGCCTGGAAGAGGGGCAACTGGGACAGAATCCGGCGCCCTGACCGGGACTAGAACCTGGTGTGCCGGCGCCGCAAGGCGGAGGATTAGCCTAGTGAGCCGCGGCGCCGGCCGATGGATCGATTCTTTATGCAGCTTCGATGCGTGAGGGGTAAACCTGGCCCTCCGAGAGCTTTGCCTTTCAAATACGCAAAATAAATCTTGAAAAGAACACAGATACGAACACAAACAGTCTCCCGCCTCGCACCTCCAGGTCATCGCTGTAGATGGGCGGACGTGCCTGGGGCTCTGGGGACGCCCTGGGCATGGACCCTTCAAGCCTAAGTGACAGAAAGCCAGCCCGAACGGAGCGAAGCAGAGGACGCTGCTGCCTCAGCAGCTGGGGGCCGTCGAGCAGGCGGCTGCGGCCCCCCGCGCTCCCAGGCTGACCCTACTCCGCCTCTGGGTGCTGCTTCACCCCACACTGGCGTCCTTCCCGGACGGCCAGATGCCCCCGGCTTAGCCTGCACTCCCTTGGGGGCCAGCAGTCCACATGCTTTGCCCAAACTGCCAACCAGAGTCCCGGCGAGGGCTCTCGCGCCCTTGGCTTCGGTCACACTCCCTTGTGGTGACCTGGCCATGAGCTAGGAACACGCTGAGTGGCCGAGCGTGGCTCACGGTTCCACTCCTGGTGACGGGACGAGGCGGGATCCCGCCATGCGGGAAGCCAGAGCCAGGGAATAATTACAGACCAGGCAGAGGCGCGGGAGCTGGGAGAGCACTGGGACCTGCCCCCCAGGGTGAGTCGTGCTTTTTATTTTTTTAATTTTTTTTTATTTGAAAGGCGGGATGGGGGGGAGAAGGAGAGGGAGAGGGAGAGCGCACGCTTCCGGATTTGATGTACATTCAGGTTATTTGCGGGCTTTTGTTACAAACAGTGGAACAGTAAAGTCTCCTGTACGCATCTCACTCCTGCTCTGGTAAACCCAGAACGAATTCTGAGAAGTGGAATTGTGCTTTGTGCTTTTTATAGCTAGAGAGATATTGCCAATCCACTCTCTGTATTTTATACTGAAATGCATGTTGTGTATGTGTCTGCACATGTCCATGCATGTAAATGTGTGTGCACACGAGCGTGCATGCGTGTACATATATGCATGTCCATGTGTTTACCTGTGTGCACATGAGTGTGCATGTGTGTGATATATGTGCATGTGTTGGTACGCATGTGAACATGTGTGTATGCGTGTGCATTGTGTGTATGCATGTGCACATGTGTTTAGGCGTCTGTGTATGGCTGCCTATTCCAGTTTCTCCCGTGCACCGTGACACTGTCATGTTGGGCTGGGGGCGTCCCTGCTCCCCTCTGGTCTTATCTGCGACGAAATGTTCTAGTCAGGGTCACAGGCTGGGGTGTCGGGGTTTAGACTTCAACACAGCAGCAACACAGGAACGACGTATGATGGTGGGAGGCACACTGGCCGTCACCCTTCGCTACAGAACACGCAGTTTCAACTCGAAACCCTCCCGGCTGCTCCCTGCTAGCTCCCAGCGGCCACAGAGATTGAGATGAGTTCATTCTTCAGCACAGGCGCCCAGGCCCCAGTTCTCATCCTCTGTGATGTTCCCCAAGGTGCCCGTGCAAACACACACACACATGCACACTGCACGTGTGCACACACAATACACACAGAGCACACACATGCACACTGCACACACAATACACACATGCACACACTGTACATGTGCACACACAATACACACAGAGCACACACATGCACACACAATACACACATGCACACACTGTACATGTGCATACACACAGTACACGCATGCACACTGCACACACAATACACACATGCACACACTGCACATATGCACACGTGCACACACAGGCACACACAACACAGAGCACACACATACACGCACACTGTGCATATGCACACACAGTAAACACAGAGCACACACATGCACAAGCACACGTACACGCATGCACACAATAATCACAGAGTGTGCACATGCACACACAAGCATGGGTGCACACACAATACAGAGCACACATGCATGCACACACAAAAACACAGAGCACACGCATGCATGCACACTGCACATGTGCACACACAGTACACACAGAGCACACTGCACACTCCAGTGTGCACACACACAAGCACACATGCACACACAGACATCCAGGCCCACAGCAAGATTCCATTTCCACGGAGCTACATGTTGGGTTAAATCGAGGGGAAAAAAGCTGAACTTGGAAAAACGGACTTTGGATGCTGCCCAGCCCCGCTGTTTGAACAAGAGTCTGAGGACTCCGGGCGCTGGCCTGGCCCCCCCCCCCCCGGCCTCGGACCCTGCCTCTCCGCTTTGCTCCAAGTCTCGAGCACAAGGGCCCAGTGTGGCGGGAGGCGCCCGGGCAGACACAGGTCTCATTATGTGCAGCCCTGCCCCTGCCCGCCGCCCCTGGAGAGCAGAGGGGACCCCACGGACCAGAGTGCCGACCGCGCCCCATTTCCAGCAGACGCCGCCGCCACTTCCGCAAGGGCCGGGGCCAGGCCCCGCGGGTGAGGGCCCGGCCGGCACGGGCGCCCACCTCCGGGTCAGCGGCCCCACGAGCGTTCGGAGAGACGGGCACGGACTCCCCGGCTTTCAGTCTCTCCCAAACCTGCTTCGGCCGAGCTCATCATTGCTGACGCGCCCTCCGCTGGGGGGTGGAGCCCGCCGGGGTCCGGGCCAAAGACGGGCGGCCGTGTGGATGTCCTTGTCCTCGATGGTCGATGCTGTCTTTGACCAGGTGGAGGAGGACCTTTGCCTGCCGTGCGCCCTGTCCCCAGCGTTCCCGCCAGCTGGGCCGCTCGGGCACGCCAGTGATGCCATGGCTGTGGCTCCAGCCCCCGTCTCCCGTGTACCTGGACAGCACCCGGGGCAGCATCTGTCCTGGCCACGTGCCTTGCTGTGGCCATCGGGGAAGAGGGCAGGGCTGCATTAGGCCCATAGCCTTCATCCCTCGGCTTCTGCCTCTCCCCGGGCAGTGTCTGTCCACGTGGCCTGAGCTGGCGCTGCCCTGGCTGATGCCACGTGGAGAGAGGGAGCTGGGCCCTCCAGGCCCTGGTCACACTGCCACCCGCCCCATCTTCCGATGCTTTCCCAGGCCGCAGCAGAGAGCTGGATCAGAAGTGGAGCAGCCAGGACTCGAACCGGCGTGCATGTGGAATGCCGGCACTGCGGACAGCAGCTTTACCTGCTGTGCCACAGCGCCGGCCCCCAGGGTAGCTCTTTAAGGAGCCATCACCCCTGGATTCTCTTTTACCCATGGTGATTTCAAGAGCCTGACGTGGGGCCAGTGCTGTGGCGCAGTGGGTTAAGGCCCTGGCCTGAAGCACTGGCATCCCATATGGGCGCCAGTTCTAGTCCCAACTGCTCCTCTTCCAATCCAGCTCTCTGCTATGGCCTGGGAAAGCAGTAGAAGATGGCCCAAGTCCTTGGGCCCCTGCACCCACGTGGGAGACCCGGAAGAAGCTCCTGGCTCCTGGCTCCTGGCTTCAGACCAGTACAGCTCCAGCTGTTGCAGCCATCTGGGGAGTGAACCATCAGATGGAAGCCCTCTCTCTCTCTGTCTCTACTTCTCTCTGTAACTCTGTCTTTAAAATAAATAAAAATACATCTTCAAAAAAAAAAAGAGGTTAGCCGGCGCCGTGGCTCAATAGGCTAATCCTCCGCCTTGCGGCGCCGGCACACCGGGTTCTAGTCCCGGTCAGGGCGCCGGATTCTGTCCCGGTTGCCCCTCTTCCAGGCCAGCTCTCTGCTATGGCCAGGGAGTGCAGTGGAGGATGGCCCAGGTGCTTGGGCCCTGCACCCCATGGGAGACCAGGAAAAGCACCTGGATCCTGGCTCCTGCCATCGGATCAGCGCGGTGCGCCGGCTGCAGTGGCGGCCATTGGAGGGTGAACCAACGGCAAAAAGGAAGACCTTTCTCTCTGTCTCTCTCTCACACTGTCCACTCTGCCTGTCAAAAAAAAAAAAAAAAAAAAGAGGCTGTCGTGGGAGACCCACACTGCAGCACGTTGGAATCCACTGCTTTATGAAAACCCAGCGTAAGAAGTTTGCGTTAAACACGGGCTCAGGATGAACGGAGGGCGGCTGTTTCCCACTTCCTGTCGTGGGGGAGATGGCACTCGCGGGGTTTCCCTTTATGGCCTGGCTCCTCGGAAGCTCGGGGCCGAATCAGACGCTCCGTGGTGGACACTGCTCACTCTCACGGTTGCACTGGAGCTGCTGTTTCTGGGGCATGAATCCTTTTTACTGTGTTGTGTAAAGATACTCTTGTCGTAAGCTGTCTCCAAAAACCAATTTTGTGCTGGAGAGGAGAGGGCAGGCGGATGAACGTAGTCCTCAGGGCAGGTGTGAGCTGTGTGCGTGGAGCTGACCCAGTTCCCCGAGGCCCGGGACTGCAAATGCAAACATCGCCCAGGGAAAGCAAACACGACTTTGAGTTCTCACAGCGAGCTCTGGGTCAGAAAGGAAAACACACACGTCTCCTGGAACAGCCGTCTGTCTCCCTGCCCGACATCTGTGCTGCTCATGGCCCAGACAAGCCCACGTTATTCCTGACGCCACCTCCAGGGAGGTGCCTGGACAGAGATGTGGCGGGGACAGAAGCCACGCGGGGCCCCACGCCTCGGCCAGCCACCTCTGACGGCCCCACACCTCCATGAGGGTGACCGAATTCCTGGGAATGGCAGCGCAGCTCCTGCCCGCTACTACAGGGGTCGCTGGGTGTTTCCAGAGCTGGGGCTGGGGGCGGGGGAGTGGGCCGAGGGGAAGAAGGCCCAGACTGGGTGGCCGTGTGTTCAACCTCCGCCTGTGACCCACAGAGCACACGTGACTCGAGCAGGAAGGACACGGCTGATGGGGGCGGGGCCGGGGCGTGCTATGGAGGAAGGGACACGGGAGGGGGCGAGGCTGAGAGCAGGTCCCTGGGTGGCTGCAGTCATGAGAAGAGACGAGACGCAGAGTCGGGTGCACGCCTGGGGGTGGGGGGAGGCCGCGCAGGTGCAGGGAGAAGCCACGTGATGGGGGCCGGCCAGGTGCCAGGGCGTGGCCAGGCCTCACTCTCAGAACCTGGTGAGCAGGCTGCAGCTGCTGCACCCCGCCCGGCAGCTCCAGGGACCCCCGAGCAGAGACGGGAAGGGGCGCTCTGGCCAACGGCAGAACAGCCCCAGCAGCCGGTGTCAGCGGAGGTCGGAGTTCAGAGGGGCCGAGGGAGCCCAGGAGGAGCTGGAGGGGCCGGAGCCGGCCGGAGCCAGCCGGGCCTCCAGCCGTGGCCAAAGCTCCGGGTTTGATGGTAAGGGGGACGGGGAACTGTCACAGGCTCGGAGCCAGCCGGGGGCAGACTGATGTCTGTTCAAGGTGACTTTGGCTGTTGCGGGGAGAGGTGCCTGGACGGTGGGGCAGGGAGTGGGGCGGCAGCAGGGGCCAGGAGGGCGTCTCCTCCCTGACTCCTCCCAGAGCAGGAGGCCACGCCCCCTGGCCACAGCACCCTCCCTGCCTGGGCGCGGGGGTTCTGCACCCACAGACCTCGCGCAAGCAGCTCCCGTCTTCCCTGACCGGCTTCTCCTCACCGTGACCGCACGGCCGGGGCGGCCTGACTCCACAGAGACCAGACGCTCGCGCCCGTGCTGGGACGCCATCCCTTGCCGCCCGGCTCGTCGCCCCAGCCCACACGCGATGAGGCCGTGAAGGGTTTTCTCCGCTGTTTTTCACGGGTGCCTGCTGCTGGGCCGCTGGGCCAGGCTGTCTTGGGATTCTCGCAGGATTTCTGAGCCCACGCGTCAGGTCTGGCTGGGGACGAGGATGCGGGCCCCACTGCGTTCTCACGTGTGTGTCACCACACGTGTGTGTCACCACACGTGTGCACCATCATGTGTCACCACAAGTGCACCATCACACGTGTGTCATGCATGCCATCACTCTGTGTCATCACAAGTGTACTGTCATATGTATCATCACATGTGCATCACCAAACATGCGCGTCATGTGTGCCATCACCACGTGTGCCATTTCATGTGTATCATGTGTGTCGCCATGTGTGCATCATACCACGCATGTCATCTCATATGTGCACCATCGCGCGCACCATCACACATGCATTGTCATGTGTGCTACCACGTGCGTGTCATGTATGCATCACATGTGCACCGTGTGTCATTGCATGTGCATCACATGCACCACCATGTTTGCATATAACACACCTGCGTCATCCCACATGTGCTTCATGTGTGTCACCATGTGTATCATCACACATGTGCCCCACCATGTGTGTGTATTGTCACATGTGTGCATTAGACTGGCTGGGGACAGCCCTGGCTGGCCTGGAGAGGGGCTTGGCTGGGCAGCGTGCGTGCTGGGTCTTGGCCATCTCACAGCCGGGGACTTGCCACGATCTACAGGGGCAGACACTGCCACTCAAGCTGGTTGGGCACAGCCCAGGGGACTTGGGCTCCCGCCTCCGGCCTGAGACCAGGGCCCCCCACTCTGCCGGGTGGGCTCCCCAGACGCTGGACACCCAGGGGCACTAATGGTCTCAGAGCAGTGGCGTCACTGAGCGCGATGCTGGGCTTTCTGTAGCCCAGTTGGCCCTGGTGCGCTGGATCGCATCATGGCACAGAAGTGCAGGGAACAAGGCTCCGATGGCTGAGCGTGCACTTCTCTCCTGCAGCCAGGAGATCCGGGGTTGCACGGCACCCTGGATGCCAGCGACCAAGGCTCTGCCACTCTGCGCTGGGCTTCTTCCTCAAGGTCCAAATGACTGCCTGAGCTCCAGCCATGGAACCTTCATTCCAGCCAGCAAGAAGGAGGGACAAAGAGCGGAGTGACCTGTTCCCGTAAAGACACCTTCCAAAAGCTGCAGGTAATTGCGCCTGGCTCCCGGTGGCCAGGCCTGAAGCACTCGGCACGCCCACTGCAAGGCCGTGGGGAAGGGCGGTGTCCCAGCCAGGAGCCAGCAGCCCCCCCTGAAGCTGGCTCGCACCCGGCTCCTCTTGGAGGCTGTCCTTGGCCACCAGCTGCCATGCTGTGCGGACGCCCAGGGGACAGGCCCAGCGCAAGTCCAGCCCCGCCGAGCCCCCAGCCCATCGCGGCCCGACTCAGACGTGGGGGCAAAGGCGCCTCCTGTTACTCTTGGCCGGAGCGCTCACCGGTCTTCCCGGCTGCCGCCCAGACACCGCGGGGACAGAGAGAAGCCACGCTCACCGGGCCCTCCCGCCAAGTCTGGTCGTGTTCTGTGAGGGGTGGAGGGAGCCTGGGGGCGGCAGGCGGGGAGCAGGACTCAGAATGGGGGGAGCAGCTGACCACCCAGCTGACCCCAGGCTCCTCTGATGCCCTGAGACCCCCGGGAATGGAAGGGGGACGGGGCAGACTTCGGGGCACCTGGCGGGGCCTGCAGGCCTGGGGGAACACGGCTCACTCTCGGGGCGGAGGGCGTGGCCGTGCCACTGCACCCCCACGGCACACGTCCGCCAGGCCCCGGGGAGGCTGTAGCTGCCGGCCGGGTTCACGTGGAGGCTGCAGGGAACAAGGCCCCACTGTGGGCCCGACGCAGGAAGGCAGCCGTGCAGGCGGCAGCGCGGGAGGGGCCCGGGCGCCCAGCCCCTTTGATTGGCGGGCGGTGCAGGGCGGAGGGTTTGCGAGCCTCCCAGCCAGCGCCCTATCTGGAGGCAGGCGACGGGAAATGCCAGGGATTCAGCAAATATTGACGGAGGGCCGCGCACACAGCTCCTTTATGAGGTGTGGCTGAGACCACAGCGCCCGCTTTCATCGGGAAGCAGGCTGATAGTGCAAGGCGCCCCGTGGAAACTTCCAGAAAATATCTGCCGCGTGCTGGGCTCTGCCATTTTAGAGACTTGGTGTCGGACAAGGAGCGGCGCTCCCTGGTCTTGTGCTGCTTGCGTTCCAGCAAACGATGCCCAGGCGGTCGCCAGTGTCCCCCAGCAAGTCCTTAAACGGAAGGGGACGGGACAGTAGGGGACTGGCGTGCCATGGCGGCTGTCGGTGATGGCCACAGTCCTGCTCAGGGCCCCCGACAGCTGAGCTGAGGCCCCGGGGAGCCACCCCTTCGTGCACCCACCCCAGGCTTGCCGAACGCTGCCCGGGTGCAGGCTTTGGGATCTATGGCAGAACGAAACCAGACAACCCCCACCCCAGCCCGTTCTCATGGAACCCACTGAACCTGGAGCAGGGAGCTAAGCCACCACCCAGTAAATCAATGGTGTTAAATTCCAGCGAGCGACACCTCGCAATGGGAACAAGAAGTGGAGCAGGCGGGGAGAGACAGGTGTGCCCAGGCCAGGGGCAGGGGCCGGCAGAGGCAGCCAGGGACAGAGCCACGCAGGGAAGTCGTCCCACGCGAGCCCAGAGGCCACAGTGACCTCATGCTTGCTACACAGCAGGCGTGACCTGGCCCCGCCCCGCCTCAGCACTCCAGGTGCACCCCACAGCTCCCAGAGCTCCCGGTCACCTCCCCTGATGCCCCTGACACCAAGGGCCTCCTCCAGTCCATTGGACTGACACCTGCCTGAGCCCACGGCTGCCCCGCTCTGCGACCCGAGATGCCCAGCTCCCTGGGTGACCACCGTCCTGCCTGTGTGGACCCCCGATCTGTCCTTTCCAGGGCCCCGCTGCCCCCACAGCCCCTCTCTCAGCCCCGCCTCTTCCTCCAGACAAGACTGGGGGCTGCGTGGCCTCCGTCCCTTGCAGCTCAGCTTCCTAAGTCTCCCAAGACCCAGATGTAGTGCCATCCCCGTCTCCCTGTCTCCCTCCCCGTCTCCCTGTCTCCCTCCCCATCTCCCTGTCTCCCTCCCCGTCTCCCTGTCTCCCTCCCCGTCTCCCTGTCTCCCTGTCTCCCTCCCCATCTCCCTGTCTCCCTCCCTCCCTGTCTCCTCCCTGTCTCCCTCCCCATCTCCCTGTCTCCCTCCCCGTCTCCCTGTCTCCCTCCCCATCTCCCTGTCTCCCTCCCCGTCTCCCTGTCTCCCTCCCCATCTCCCTGTCTCCCTCCCCGTCTCCCTGTCTCCCTCCCAGTCTCCCTGTCTCCCTGTCTCTCTCCCTGTCTCCCTGTCTCCCTCCCCGTCTCCCTGTCTCCCTCCCCGTCTCCCTGTTTCCCTCCCCGTCTCCCTGTCTCCCTCCCCACAGGCAATGCCAGAGCACGCCGGAGCAGCAGCAGAAGCCCCTTACCGGGGCCCACGGCCCTGATCACGTTGCTGTCCACCCGTGGGTCTCCCACACTGCCCAGCCCTGGGCGGCATCCAGCATGGGGTGAGGACTTGTGCGCTGGAGAGATGAAGATCCAGCCCACAGCCGCCCCAGCCTGCCGCTACCCACAGGCCACCCACAGACCTCGGGTGGACAGCGGCGGTCAGCTGGGCGTGGAGGACGTGACTTCCCTGCCCCGGAAGGAGGCTCACTCCCCCCCACCCCCCACTGCCGGGACCCCAATGCCGAAGCACCGCGTTCAGTCCTGATCGCAGGCGGGGCTGTGTCCTGTCTTGCTGGACAGCACTCCGCGTCAGTCTGGATTTTGTCTGGGCTCTCAGCGTCCGGAATGCCTGCTCGGGCCAGCGTTGCGGTGCAGCGGGGCCAGCCGCCACCTGCGACGCCAGCATCTCGTTTCAACGCTGGTTCAAGCTCCCGGGGCTCCGCTTCCCACCCAGCTTCCTGCTGATGTGCCGGGAAGGCAGCGGACTGGCGCGTGCCACACCCTGACGGGGTTCCAGGCTCCCGGCTTCGACCTGGCCCCGACCATAGCACCCATCTGGGGGTGAACCAGCAAACTCGCACCTCACCCCCACGTCACCCGACAAGGACCCTGCCCTGGTGCCAGGGTCATCCACCTGCTCCTTACGGCAAAGCTGGGCCCCCGGCCCCTGGGGTTCCCCACCAAGCACGGCCCTGAGCAGCACGTGGGGTCCCCCCTCCTGGGTCACTGGTGGAGGTGGCCAACAGTGGCCGCTGGGCTCCTGTGTCTGGTGCCGGGTGGGGTGTCCCGCATAGGGCAGGGGACCCCTTCTTCACTGTGGGGTGACCGCAGCCCTGGCTGAACCCACTCCACCTGCCTTGCACCATTCCTGCCCCCCACAGCCCAGCCCATTGGCTCCTGGGGCCCAGATTCCGCCGCCTGCCCCCACACATGGCTTCTCCTGGGCTCCCCCGACTGGCAACGCAGACGCCACCTCCCCAGCCCACCCTCAGAAACCCCTCCCCGGCCCAGGCCCCGGGAGTCCCAGAGGAGATGAGGCTGGAGGTGTCAGAGCTGGGTGTGGGGGGGCATCAGCCGTGCAGGAGCCCCGCCTGGGGCAGCCTGGGGGGCGCTGGCCAGGGGCAAGGCCACCAGCCCTGCGTGGGGACGCCCGCTGGGTGTGGTGACTCCTGGGTCCCCGGGGTGCTGATAAAGCCGCGGCCAGGGGATGTGGCCGTGAGAAGGCTGCCGCCGGGCTGGCAGACACCCACGGAGGTTTCAGAACACGTTCGCCGTGGGTAAGGAGGCACTGCTGGACTCGGGCCTCCTGGACAGGAGAGCGAGCGGTGCATGGCCGCATCGGCGGCGCGAGCAGGAAGCTGCGGCCGGGGGGCCGTGAGCGAGGAGGGCAGGGGGCACACACACTTGCAGAAAGAGAAGCAGCCAATGCCTTTCTAAGCAACAAAGTTTGAAAAGAGTCACAGGGAGACACAGGGCAGACACAGAGGTACCTTTCATCTGCTGGTTCACTTCCCAGATGGCCGCAACAACCCGTGCTGGGCCAGGACAAAGCCGGGAGCGTCCTCCAGGTCTCCCAGGCGGTGCAGGGGCCCGAGCACTCAGGCCGTCCTCTGCTGCTTGCCCAGACGCTTCAGCAGGAGCTGGAGTGGAAGTGGAGCAGCCGGGGCTCGCCCACAGAGGCACATGCCATCCCCGCTGCGGCGACGAAGGGCAGGGGCAGCTCTCGCGGTGGGGCCCAGGCCATGGGTTAGGAAGCAGCGGGTTCTGCCTGGACTTACCCAGCTGGTGCACCCACGGCATGCCCAGCCACGAGTCAGCTGGAACGCACCTGGTGGCCCATGACAGAAAACACAGCTTCCGCGGGGGGCCCTCCGCCGTCTCCCGATGCCCCCAGAGCTCGGCTGATGCTGCAGCTTGGGGACGACACCCGCCACTCCCGTCCCGTCTGTCTTCACTGCCTTCTCTCTCTCCTCGGGGTGTTGAGGTGGCTGCCACGGCTCCAGGTACACACAGCATCCAGAGGTGAAAAGGGAGCCCTGTCTTCCTCGTGCCTCTCTCTGGGGGCTGAGAATCCTTTCCCAGAAGCCCCCAGCAGGCTTCTCCTCACTGTTCATTGGCCAGAATTGGGCCACATGAGCCTGCCGAAGCCAGAAAGCACCCAGAGGGGAGGGGCCACCTGTTTGCATCAACCAATCAGAATCTGGCCATGTCTGGAGGGGCGGAGCAACCATGGCAGAGGGCAGGCACCCTTCCTAGCGACGCGTTCCTATCCCCCCACCCCAACCCCCACCCTACACTGCAAGTTCACGGCCAGGTTCTTCACAGGCCCCGAAACCACTGGCTCTAAACTGAAACCTGAACCTCGTCTTTTTCCGATTTCGTTGGTCTTCGGCCTTGACAAACGCAGCGATGCCTTGCCAGGCCACGCCTCACCCAGCGCCAGCAAAGTGGAGCTGGAAACAAAAGCGGGTGCGACCTCCCAGGCTTCCGCAATGGATTCTGAGCTCAGCCTGTGTTCGGAAGATCCGTGTTGCCTGTAACACACAGGGTCACACAAAGTTCAGCTGGTGCAGAAGTGGCTGAGAGAGAGAGGGAGGGGAGAGAGGTGGAGAGGGAGGGGGAGAGAGGTGGAGAGGGAGGGGGAGAGAGGTGGAGGCACGCGGGAGCCCTCACAGCGGTCAGCTTCCCACGCAGTGATGTGCAAACACTGCCCCAAGGACCCGTGAACGCAGACGCAGAGCGGCTCACAGAATCCTGCATATGCGACCGGGACCACCCTGGTCAGCCCGCGACGCAGGCCACAAGCCCCCCTCGGCAGAGTCCCACGCCAGCCTCAGTGCGAGCGCAGATCCAGCACCAAGCCTGTGCTCGCTAGCCCACGGGCAGAGCGGCCCCCGCGCGCGGGCGGGCGTGCTCCTGGGGCTCCTGTGTCTCACCCTGTGGGGCCGTGATGGCAGTGCCCGTCAGCAGCCAGCTGTGGCAGAGCCAGTGTAACAGCAGCTGGGCACCTGACTTCCAGCCGTGCGGGCCTGGGGGTTTACTAACAGGAAGGAGGTGGCAGGGAGCACGATCCCAGGAGAGGCTGGGTGACAGTGCTGCTAACATCATCATCATCACCATCATCATCATCACCACCATCACCACCATCACCACCACCATCACCATCATCATCACCATCACCACCACCATCACCATCATCATCACCATCACCATCACCATCACCACCACCACCACCACCACCATCATCATCATCACCATCATCATCATCACCACCATCACCACCATCACCATCATCACCACCACCATCATCATCACCACCATCACCACCATCACACCACCATTATCACCATCACCATCACCATCACCACCACCACCACCATCACCACCACCACCACCACCATCATCACCATCACCATCATCACCATCACCACCACCACCACCATCACCATCACCACCATCATCACCACCACCATCACCACCATCATCACCATCACCACCACCATCACCATCACCACCATCACCACCATCACCATCACCACCATCACCACCATCACCACCACCACCATCACCACCATCACCATCACCATCACCACCACCATCACCACCACCATCACCATCATCACCATCATCATCACCATCATCGTCAGCATAGCTCTAAAGGGAAATGGCACAGAGTGTGAAGACCCAGGCAGGAATGGAGCACAGGGACCTCTCCTTGGGGGTCCTCTTGGCCCCCATGGTCTCAAGAACCATGCTAGGGGCCAGCGTTGTGGCACAGTGGGTTATGTTGCCACGTGCGACTCTGAGATCCCATATGGATGCCAGTTCAATTCCCGGCTGCCCCACTTCTGACCCAGCTCTGCTATGGCCTGGGAAAGCAGCAGAAGATGGCCCAAGTCCTTGGGCCCCTGCACCCACGTGGGAGACCTGGACAGAGTTTCAGGCTCCTGGTTTGGCCTGGCCCAGTCCTGGCCATTGTGGCCATTTGGGGGAGTGAACCAGTGGATGGAAGACCTCTCTCTGCCTCTACTTCTCTCTCTGTGACTCTGCCTTTCAAATAAATAAATCCTTTTTTAAAAAAATACACAACATTCACCAAAATGTATTGTGGATACTTGAAAGCATTAAAATTAAATTCTTCATATTAAGAAATAAAAGAACCACACGCCGCTCACACAAACACAGGCACACAAAGGTCCACAGGTGCCCAGAGGCACCACAAATGCCCGCCCGCTGACAACACAGACAAGCGTGGGCCACACGATGAAACACAGCCCACTGTTACAAGGCGTGACGCCCCGACACCTGCTCCAACGTGGCTGCACCCCAAAACCATGAGGCTGCGTGAAGCCAGCCGGCCAGGAAGGGTGGCGGGCAGGCCGCAGCGCAGAGCCCGCACACGGGCCCGCCTCGGCGTGACGCTGTGCACCTGCTGTGCGTCCTGTACAACTCTCATTTATTTTATAGAAACCGCAGCCTGGCAACAGGTCCGTCTGTGTGGACACAGAGGGACTCGGGCGGCGCAGACGCGGGGGAGATGAGGAGTTCGCTACGTTTCCACGTCACCAGATCTGTTGCAACGAGCAAGCTGCTTCCATGCACCCCACCTCCTGCAGAGTACATGATGCCTGGTTTGTTCTGTAAAAATCTAATGAATCGGGGGAAACGCTGGCGCCTGTCTCCCAAAGCGATGCCAGGAGAACCCTTCTTGGAGTTGAACGAAGAGGGATGGAAGACCGCTCCCTCTCTGTAACTCTGCCGCTCAAGTAAATACGTAAATCGCAAGTAAATAAATAAATAAAACCACTGCAGCTGATGGGCAGTTTCCAGAGGGTGGCCGGATACAGGATAAGTGCTAAATGCGCAGCCGTGGTCAGGGCCACAGAGAACGCTGGGGCAGGAAACCAGAAGGACTCATGTCGGGACGACGACAGAACCGGGCTGGAGAACTCGCGTAGGTCTGGTCAAGCGGGAGGAAAGTTCGCCCTGTACGGGGCGGAGTTCACGCTCACGGTGCAATTCCAAGAAAATCCCTCAGAGGATTTTCAGCGTAACTTGGAAAGCCGATTCTAAAGTTCATCTAAAATGAAAAGCCATGACATTGTGTGAAAGAACAATAATGAGGGGCCGGCACCGTGGCGCAGTAGGTTAATCCTCCGCCTGCAGGGCTGGTATCCCGTATGGGCGCCGGTTCTAGTCCCGGCTGCTCCTCTTCCAGTCCCCTCTGTCTCCTGCCAGATGTGCCAAGGCACCAGGCATCCTCGGAGCTCCTGGCTTCAGACCGAGACGGCGCCAACACAAAGGAGGCAGAGCCCAGGCTGCAGAGGCTGGGCCGTGAGTGGTCAGCCGAGCCGGCAGGGCTGCCCCGGCCAGCACTGGTCCTGCAGCCTCAGGTTCGTTTCACAGGTAAATGCATTGAAGTGACTTTCACATTGTTTATAACCCAAATTACCCACTGTTTTAAATACAGATTAGACACATAAATAGAAGAGCAAAAAAATGCCCAGAAAAGCATGTGTGTGTGCATATATCAAATAAATAAAATAAAGAGAATAAAAGAGGCGGGTTTTTGTTTTCTAACCCTCCTGGAGTGAGGCAGGCTTTCTTAAACAGGAAAGGAAAGAGGAGGTGCTGGGTCTCACGTGCCCTCTGCGCCAGGGCCCCGCGCTCCTAGGCAGGGGCGGGAGGAGGGCTCCGGGGGCAGGCGACAGGGTCTCTCCCAGCGTGGGCACCATGTCCGAGCTCCCAGACCCAGGGGCAGGCGACAGGGTCTCCCCCAGTGCGGGTGCCATGTCCAAGCTCTCAGACCCAGGTAGAGAGACGCACACGGCCGTCCGGACAATACAGAGGCTCCAGGCCGCGGACTCGAACCCTGACCCCGTCTCCGCTGTGAGGACAGGGCTCTCTCTCCCCGGCAGACCTTCCCGGAGTCACGGGGAAGCCTGCGTCCGTGTAGTCCGGCGCGCTCACTGGTCCCATGGAAGAAGACTGCATGGTCACTGGCAGCTGGGGTTTACCGCGTGGAATAGCACAACTCTCTGTCTTGTTTTCTGGGGCCGGCGTTGTGGTACAGCTGGTAAAGCCACAGCCGGCTGTACCCGCATCCCTTATGGGCGCCAGTTCAATTCCTGGCTGCCCCACGTCCAATCCAGCTCCCTGCTAATGCACCTGGGAAAGCAGTGGAAGATGGCCCAAGTCCTTGGGCCCCTGCACCCGCGTGGGAGACCCCGAAGAATCTCCTGCTCCTGGCTTCGGCCTGGCCCACCCTCGGCCATTGTGGCCATTTGGGGAGTGAACCAGCGGATGGAGGATCTCTCTTTTCTCTCACTCTGTAACTCTGCTTTAAATAAAATAAATAAATCTTTTTTTTAAAAAACTCTCATTTGCCTCCTCTGTAAAATGGGCATACTAGTAGCATCAACTTTGTGGAACCGAGTGAGCCTCCCACTGTTAGCCGTTGCCAGGATTGGCTTTATTTGCCCCGCGTTAGTCTCCTCCCTCTCACGGCTTCCGTTTCTGCTCCTGGGCCTCCCTTACCTCACCTTGGGGCTTAGCACTATGGGGAGCAAAATAACCACCCTCCCCACTGAAGAGGCCCCTATCCTAACTCCCTGGGTGGGCTGGTCGCTGCCTGGGGTAACCTGGTCTCTGCCTGGGGTAGCCTGGTCTCTACCTGGGCTAGCCTGGTCTCTCCCTGGGCCAGCCTGGTCTCTACCTGGGGTAGTCTTGTCTCTCCCTGGGCTAGCCTGGTCTCTGCCTGGGGCAGCCTAGTCTCTACCTGGGCTAGCCTGGTCTCTCCCTGGGCCAGCCTGGTCTCTCCCTGGGCTAGCCTGGTCTCTACCTGGGCTAGCCTGGTCTCTGGTGAAGGCCCCCCTGGAAGCAGTCTGATCAGGACTGAGCGTAGCAGTGTTGTTTGGAATTTGCCGGCTAAACCGCCGGGGAGTGAGCAAAGGAGGCGACGGGGGAAGGAGGAGAACACAAGGGTCTTCCTGCCCGCCAGCACCGCCTGGGCACGGGGCTCAGCCCCACAAGGGGCCTTGGGGCCATGGTGCAAGGCGACACCTGAGTTACCCCAGCTGGACGGACAGCACTGCCTTGGACAGCGCTCTGATTAATACATACAACACCCACAAATACTTGCGTCCATCAGTTTATGTGGCAATAGATACAACGAAGTGATGCAAAAATGTATCCCAACTAAGCCGACCAGGGACTGCCTTCAGGCAAATGCCTCGCCAGCCGCCAGCCACCGTGGCCACACAATCGCCAGCGCTCACTGCAGTCAGCAGCTGAGACGGAGGAGAGGTGGGGTTGGGGGGACGCCTCATCCCCAGGAAAGCCAGTGTTACACAGGGGTGCACACAGGGCATGGGCAGGGGCACCCCAACCACGGGGCCGGGCTCAGCATCCCCCCAGGAAGCTCTTGGACATCAGCTGCCTAGCCGGAGCACGGCCCCTCGTGTGGATCCGGGAGAGCGGCCACAGCAGCGTCCCCGACCCACAGGCGCCCTCAAGGCTGAGAAAGCATCCCGGCCTGGAGGACACTAACGCTGGCAGCCACCAAAGGCTCGGGGAGCTGGGTGGGAGCCGGGGACAGGGCCGGAGCGCGAGCGGGGTCCCCGGATGACCGCAGGAGCCCTGCAGCCAGCTCAGGCGTCACAGCCGCGCTGTTTCCTGGCCGAGCTTTGCTCTGGCTTGTGCAGAATTTTTTTTTTTTTTTTTTGGACAGGCAGAGTGGACAGTGAGAGAGAGAGACAGAGAGAAAGGTCCGCACTGATCCGATGCCAGGAGCCAGGTGCTTCTC